GACCAAAGTCCCACGAAACTTTCTTACGAAAAAGGAGTTGCGCAAGCCCGACGCGTCATAGGTCATTGACGAGGCCTTCGATGACGTGAGAACTGCCCTTTCAGATATTTTATTTCATTCGTCAGAATCTTGACGAATTGTAAACAATTTAGCATTTGAAAGAATTTCTTTTCTTATATTAAAACTCGAGGTATTTATTAGGCTCGCCGACTACCTCTTTCAGGATTCCTACAAGCTTGAAGATCACACAGAAAATCCTAATGAGTTCATATGTATGGGCGAACGAAAAGTCACGTTCCTGCAGGTAATACAAAGTTTCTTAACTGCTTGCATAATGAGAACACAGGAAGGTTTTACGAGATTATCTACCGACCGAAATCACTCCAATGCGTACTAATTAGTAAAACCTACATTTTCTTTAATACTGCAATGAATATTTAAATAAATCAGCAAAATAGTATGAAATCAAGTAATCCAGACTTAGTGATCCATAATATAAATTCTTGCATCTACTATCTAATTTTACTCTTAATGGCATTACTAAAATTAGTCTGTCGACCAGTAATCGAAATCTTTGCTCGTCTAAGCTGAACAGACGGTCAGCTGTCAATAAAATAGTCTAGCACGGCGTGACACGAGGTCATCGTTCGATTTTCTTTTAATCCAACGAGCGTCTAGTTAATCGACTTAATTAACATCGGAAAATGGTCCCTGGTTATCGACTCGAACAAAAATGAACCGATCTGAAGTACTTAAAGAAAGGATAATCGTCTTGTTCGATAAATTGTCAGTTTAAAACTGACTCGACGGGAAACTAATTCGTTTTGGAATCGCCGAGATTCATTGGATGTTCTATAAGTAGAAGACGAAGTCGTGAAAGAGAAAATCGTCGCCTGAAAAATCGATGCATCACAAAGGGTAGCGTGAGAAATCTCAGCGTAACGATCCTGGATAAAGTGAAAGTTTGTCTTGCCTCCTCTTCTTTTTTTCTTTTTAATCACATTTTCACAGTATAAAAAAGAACAGTAGACTCACTCATGATATCGGCTCCTATGATCTCATGACCAGCAGATTCGCCACGTTGTTAGTTATG